TCTTTGTCTAAATATGTTTGCAAAGATTTGGTATCTGCTAATTTAAAAATATAAGGAGCAATTTTTTCACTTTGTTCCTTTTTCAAAATACTTCTAATGGTGCTGTAATTCTTTGGTTCCATAGTAGATCTGGTATAAATGAGTTTCATATTAACTATTTTTGTCTAGATGAATATCATGTTCACATTACATTGTTAAACAAACAATATTGATCCCTGAAATTTTTGGTAATACCAATTACAATGTTCACTTTGTCTGGTTTTGTTGCAGTATGCCCCAGATAAAAAAAAGAGATTAACAGTTAACTAAAGTAATTACTAGTTGCAATGATTTCAACTACCATTATTTTTAATAAATATAGTAAAGATGGTCTTGAGAGGCCTTGGTGAAGTAATAGATGTTATGATGGTACCAGGGTCTGTCCCTGAAAAAACAACTTTCTGCTGTGAAGAAATATGCCCATGATTGCTGAACTAGAGTGACAACCATTCTTTTTTAAATAAAACTAGAATAATGACAAGTGGCATCATTTTTATGATAAGCACTTATCATTAACAATGGCACCATGATCATTTTTTTGTTTTCTTCTTTTGTTTCCAGAAGACATTGTTTTTTAGAAATGTTAGTTGATCAACAAACACATATATATATACACATTAATTATTTATGTATGGAGCCCTGTTGTTTTGGGGGGACAGATGCAAATTGATTTTTTTTTTGGAAAACAATTTATTCTTTGACAGAGTCCACAATGACAAAATGTGGTTTTCCTAAAGAAGATGTGTTAATGACAGAGGTAACTATTTTTTATTTGTATTGATATGTGCCTTTTATTTTATATAAATGTATATTATTGAAATCAAAATGCATACAGGACTTGCTGGATAATTATAGGATCCTTATCAAAATGGTAAACAATAGGTATTTTGCTCTGCATAATCAATATTAATATTATTATAAATAAAGGCAGCACATTGTTGAAAATGAAACATTTCAAATATGAAACATTTTGATATGCAATGTTTAATTATCAGGAATTTACAGACATTGAAGCATGCACACTACCTTGAATACTTTTACAGTCATTCTCACATTCCTTGTGTACACAAGGCTAATTTGACCTGCCATGCCCTATGGATACAATGATGCAACAGAATTCCAGGGGGGAAGTGAGTGGTCCTGGAGTTTATCAAAGCTGCATCATCATCAAGGACACCTTCACTAATCTTCCCTCACAGCACCTGACCAGAGGATTTTTGCTTTTTGTTGGGCAATAGCACACTTTCATACTGCTTTCTTTTTCTAAACCTTTATTATTTTTCTTTCCTCTTGGTAAAATTTCATGGGTAATACATTCTTTTCTTAGATAAGCTTCAAGTGTCTAAGTATCATTTATTTTGAAAATGTAAAGATCAAAATACTTCTAATGGCACTACTATTGATCCCTGAAATTCTTGGTAATACCAACGTTCACTTTGTCTGGTTTTGTTGCAGCATTGCCCATGTATAGTATTTTTTATTATTATTTTAAAAATACCCATTAATTACACATTAAAATATAAATTTCATTTCCAATTTCATATTTGATCTCAACATTGAAATCAATAATAGATGGAAAATGATATAAAATTTTTTTTGGAATTACTATTATTTGTTAGTAATCAGCTGTGATCATGAATGAATCTATTCAGTCCCATTAAATCCAAATGTCTAAAAACACAAAAAGAGAACATTAAAAATATATTTTTTTTAATATGTTCACAAATACCATATATGTCACAAAATTAATGTGACATGAAAAATTCACACTATGCTATAATTGAGAATAATTTATAATATATTATTTACACACGTGACAAACGTGACAACACATTACGTGTTTTTGTTCCAATCATATTACAGGATTAAAATTTAATTAAAAAAATTTTAAATCCAAAAAAAAAAAAATCAATCTAATTTTTTTTTTCAAAAAAAAAATAATATGTCGAAATTAATGTTAAATTTTAATAATCAATTTTTTTATTATTTAGATTTTAATAAAATATTTTATTCTATAAAAAATTAAAAAAAATGCTTCAAATTTCAAATAAACGTATCAATAAAATGGATCAAATAATAATAGACGAAGAATTTGATTATATGGAAATCGATAATAACGAAATAGACATTGGTGTTTTTAATAACAATAATTTTAATTTCAATAATAATAATAATAACAATAGTAATAATTTTATTAATGATAACGTTAATAATAGTGATAATAGTAATAGCAACAATGATAATTTTACTATTAATAATAATGTTGATATTGACGATGAAGTAATAGATGATGATGATGATGATATCAATGATGCTAAAGATGAAGGTGATGATGAATGTTACGATGACGATGATGATGATGATTCATCAATCAATCTTTCGATCGCTTGGCAAAAATTTTTGAAAAGAAGGGAAGCCAAAAGGCAAAAACTTTTCTCTGATTATGTAGGTTGATTGATTGATTGATTGATTAATTGATTGATTGATTGAATGAATGAATGATTGATTTATTGATTTATCTTTTATATAATAATTCTAGTATAAGAAACTATCAATAAATTTTCCCAATATGGTAATTAATCAAATTATATACAATCAATTAACATACATAACCTTATATTAATGGAATAAGTTTTTCTCTGACTCCTAATCAAAAAAATAAAATAAATAGCAATCCAAAGAACTTGAAGAACAAGCTTGGAAATTGATTGAGACCCGTCATGCACAATACAATGGAGATGTCGAGTTGGTTGAGATCCGCGAAGAAGGTGAAGAGATTAAAGAATATTTGGATTCATTAAGTGAGGAGCAAAGGTTAATAATTTTCACATACATATATATAATATGTAATACTTTTTATGTGGGAATGAATGGAATGCTAATAATAATATATTTTTTTTTATAGAAAAGAATTATATCCAACAGTAGATGAATTCTTGAATCGATTGGAAAATCAAGATGATGATAATAACATTAACAATAATAATAGCAATAACAATTTATCGATAGAGGTAAATATAAATTATATTTGGCAAATCTTTTATTTATAAAAATACATGATAATAATAATAGAAAATTTTTTTTAAAAAAAATTTATTTGAGAAGAATAAAAGGAAAAGAAACCAAATCAAAATAAACACTTTTAATAATAATAATAATAATAACAACAATAACAACAATCCAAAATTACCAAAATTACCAAAATCTGGATTTGTTTCAACTCGTTTACCAAATAACTTTTTTCAAGAAGGGAAAGATGGGAATGACGAGATAAGTAACAATAATAATAATAGTAGCAATAGTAGTGATGCTAGTGATGGTGATGACGACGGTGATGGCAGAGGTGATAGTGATGATAATTATGGTAAGAGGGAAATTAATGAATATTTTACAAAAACATTTGGGAGAAAAGCAGAAAAAAGAAACCATCAAATACATTACCGAACGAACAAAGACATAAAAAATTTTCTGCTAAATGGATTTAAACCTACACCATTAATGATTAATGACGAAGACGACGATAATGAAGATGAATATTAATCAAGTTTATTTTTTATTTCTTATTATTTATTTATTTAGTTAGTATTTTCTTATTATTGAACAATTTTATATTGGGGAAAATAGTTGTTTGTCACATTAATAAAAAATAAATATTCCATCGTATAAATGAAAATTGAGTTATTTTGTTTGACATTATTGATAAAAAATGAATCTTTCAATTATTGGGCTTAGCCGGGAATTGAACCCGGGACCTCTCGCACCCTAAGCGAGAATCATGCCACTAGACCACCAAGCCGCGGTATTGAAGTTAGATTTTGAATATATAAATTTCCTTTCTTATTTCGCTAATTTTTGGGTGATGATTATCATCGTCTCGTGATATATGAAATAAATATTACAGTTTCCATATAATACCAATCAAAGAAACTTTTGATATTGTACGCAGTGTTACCCGATTATAATTATTCGATCAAATTTGTTATCATTAATAGTTGCAACGATAATTACGCATTTGGTATAAACAATATTTTGCGCGTTATAGTAATTTTATTGAATGAATGAATTAACTAATAAAAAAAAAATATACATACAACAAAGAAAAAACAAAGAATAACAGAGACAAAGAAATTAATTAAATACAAAATGAATTTATGATTCAATTTTTTTTTTTTTTTCTCTTTATTGCTACCGATAGATTAATTGATCGTTCTAATTAGATTATTAAATCAAGTTCAAATCGTACAAAATGCACACGCAAAATGCACGTTTACTTCATGTCACACATATCTTCCTTGTACAAAGTTCATTAATATCACACAAACAAATCGAATTTTTTTTTAAATTCCGCAATATTAATCCATTTTGAAACTCAATAGGTTGAACAAAATAAAAAAAAACTTTTTTGAAGAAGAAATTATTTTTTATAGTGTATACATCCATTACATCATTGTCACCATATATAATCTCAGTAAACTACTTGCACGTGTGCAAATTTTTTTTTGTTGGATTTATTAATATAGATTTATGGATAAGAATGCGCTGCATTTAATGAAAAGAAAGTTTGCTTTTATTTTTTTTTTTTATTTGTTTATAATAATAATAATAATAAATGACGATGATGACGACGACGACGATGATAATAACAACAAATAATAATAATAATAACAAATAATAATAGTAATAATGATACTTTATGACCAATTTAATATAAGAAATGTTAATAAAAAAAAAAGGGTTTGGGGAAAATCCAAAGTGCTTTGCTCCTTTGCAATTCACGTACGTGAAAATTAAATCAGTCAATCTACACCCTAATTAAATATGATAGTGTGGTATCGGGTATTGGCATTTAAAAAGTCTAGACCTTTCAATATTATTAAATGTCACACAATTATTGACCTCAACAACAACAATTATTAATCAAAATTATTAATCATAATTATTAATCATAATAATTGTTATTAATTAAGCAAAGAATATACAAATACATACAACTTGATGCTTTTTAGCTGGGAAAAGACTTTTAATGTATGTGACTGCTAAATAAAATTGTGTCAAGAGTAATTTTATTATAATCTTGGGAATTATTTAATTTGTAGATTAAACGCCACAATCAAAAATTATTATTAATAGAGAGTATTGAATTTTGGAAATCTTGTTTATTTTGTTTACATTAAACCAATTTTAGAAAACCCAACAAAGTTATTTTTCGTACCAGAAATTTTTAACCAATCATTATCAATTAAGGTTATGATGATATGATAATTGAAATTCCTAAATATGAATTAAAGTGTTTCGGAATAAATTTTGAATACAATAATAATAACAACAATAAGATTTATAACGTAATTGGGGATGATGATATAATGAGTCTAATTATGGTCATCGTGAAATATATCAAGTAATGAGCGAAGGAGTTTTGAATTCCATGTTTTATTGTACTAAGGATGCTTTCATATTTGGAAATCTGATAATGTTTCATCTTGATTATCCAACGTTTTCCCATATAGTTATAATTTTAATTACATCATCCCAAGTAATCACTTGAACGATTGGTTATGAGGGTCAACATAACGAGCTTGTTTGCATATGTTACTCCAAGTAATGCCAAAAAAAAAAAATCAATCACAATTATCATGTAAGGTAAGCATTTCATCATCATCGTCATCATTCAGATGAGTTTTTGTATGCTCCTGAAGAAAGTTAGAGATTATCATATAAAATATGATAAGAAGGAAAATAAAAGAATGATTATTATTGGTAATAATGGACCAAAAATAACAATTAATATTCATGTATAACATGAAAAAAATTTTTTTTCCTAAAAATTTTTCCTGTTGAATTATTTTTTTTTTTGATATTAATTGCGTACTTGATGAATAAAACTTCATTGTTAGCCTGCCAAATTTAGCCAGATATATTGATTTTTGTTTTGGAAAATGTTAATACATCACCGCCACCATTCTATATAGCTGTTTCTCCCACACTTAATCAATCTGTCGATCACTACAAATGCTGCGGACTATAATGCCGATCTACAAATTGCGTGGTGCATATTAGCAAGTCATTTTATTCATCACGCACATTTTTAATTTTTGAAGTTGAAAATCGCTCTTTATACCAAATTTGGTTAAAATCGTTGTTCGGGCCTTGTGGCTATAATCACGGTGCATCTTTTTTTACCATATTTATATATTACGGTTTTTGAAAGCTTTCATATATAACGATCAATTTGCACCAATAAATAAATAATAATACAAAATATCATGAAAAATGGCACCAGTCATTCAAAAGAGAAAATTGCAATCATATGCTTTCCGACTCTAATTACAATTTATATTGTTTATATAATTGAACGTCCCTAACTGCAAGTAGGTTGACAAATGGTCTTTTATGTGGTAAATTAAACCCAAATCGGTCTTAATAGAAGATTCAAGTAGTATTATTGGATTTAAAGTATGTTAGGTAGATAGACAGTCTAATTAAATGGTTTATGAGTGGTATATATGTATATATGTATATATGTATATATATATATATATATATATATATATATATATATATATATATAAACTGATAGACATTAGTTGGACGGGTATAATTAAATAGTTTGATGGATATATTTTCTTTGTATTCTTTCTATTAATAGTTATATAGTAGATGCTTTTATGAATGTTTCAAATATAGAAAATGAATGTGGTTCATGTGAAAAATGTCAACAGTTCATTCAATAATTATTTACGCGACAAGAAATTTGGAAAATCAAACCAATATTGTCTTCTTAATTTGCCCAATAAATTAACTCAATTATATATATTTATAATATAAAAAAATTTTTTTTTTAAATGAAATGATTCAATGCGGGGTTTTTATGGTCACGTTTGATGAACTTTTCCAACTAATCCACTTTAATAATTAATGTTAATCATATGCTCGTTCAATTTAGGCAATTGATTGACTGATTAGTGGTTGTAGCGAACGAAATAAAGTTTCGTTCATTATTTAAAATCAAAAGGTCTTGTGATATTTGTTAATTCAATGTGTAGTAGATAGGTGTTAATATACAATTTCCCTTTTCTGTTAAAATTTAAGCCACACATTTAAGGTTCTGCGCTTTGTGCATTGTTTTGCATTTTATTTGTGGTTTGTTTGGCGAGTGATGTGGCGCATAGGTCAGCTGGGCTGGCGCGCATGGTTTTGTTTTTTTTTTTTATTTGTTGCCACAATTCGTCACCATATATGTATGCACAATTAAGTAAGTTGACACTCTCAATAGTTTTTTCTTAGTCTTTGCATAATCTTTACTATAAAAAAACACCCCCACTCGCCTGCTCACTAATTCATTGGACCCATTTTATTTATATTTATTATTTTATGTTATTCATCACCTGTTAACAAAAACGATATTAGGGTTGTATACTTTTTTATATTACCCCGAAAGTCAATCCCGAATTTTTAAAATAGTAAAAAATTTTCAAATATACTTTAATTATAAAAATTTTTTTATATTCATGAATATATATATAAAAGTCTTATGTCTGTTCATGAAAAAAATAAATTCAATAAATATTTTTTTCCAACATTCTAAAAAAAAAGTGATTTTTTGTAATAATAACAATAATAAAATAATAATAATCTTGTAAAAAAAACATTTTACTAATTTTTTTTTATTCTTTACTTTCTCTCTCATATTTATTACTCGTATATTCTTTCTTCTCATTATTATAACCGATAAATTTTCTAAAAAAAAAATACAACCACCAACATACACATAACTGTAATTATCTATTATTTTCCATTTCATTTTATATCAACAAATTAGTTTTTTTTTATACTTTTAATAACGAATCAAAACTTTTCGAACTGTACAAGAAGATAAACAAGAAAGAGATAGATATTCATTCATATCACACACATTCACACACAATATACATACATACATAAAAACACCCTAACGTTTTTACTACAAGCGAAATTTACTTTCTTTTTTCTTATATTATTTATATAAATTCGTGTAACAACAACATTTTACTCGATCCGAATATCTCGAATATCAACCAACAAACTAATATATAATGACTGCAGTCAGACGTACTCCATCATCTAACAGAAGAGCTAGAGGGCCAATCAACAAGAGAGCTTGCCAAAGATGTAGGCTTGGAAAGATAAAATGCGATGGTGATGCAATAAGTAACCGATCCTGCAGTAACTGTGAACCATCAGCTTGTATATACGACACAACGCCAAGAAAGAATAAACAAATCGAGCAAATGAAGGAACAAATGGACACACTCCAACAACGAATAATGGGCATCTACAGTGATTTCCAAGGAAAATTGGCGACTAAAGAAAAGGAAAAGGAAGTTTTGTGTCTATTGTATGAATCAAAAGAATATTTTGGTGGTTGTGCAGAGCATTTAATTACATTCGATAATTTGAAAAATATAATTAAACAAAGCACTTACCTCCCAGGATACTTGGATTTTATTGGTGCTCTCATATCGAATTTTAATTTAAATCAGGATAAGGTCCCTGGGATTATTGAATCTTTGGAACGGATCGTAAGTTGTACTGAACATCATGAGAGAAATGCTCCCGGAATTGATCATTTGAAAAGGCAACAAGATGATTTCCATAACCATGACGAATTACATTATCATCATAATCATAATCATAATTATAATCATCATCATAATCATCATCATCATCAATGTAATAATCTATTAGATCATGATCGCCAACAATTTCCAGACAATGGAATAATTTTAACTCCTAATAACAACGACTTACCGATATCAGTACCATCGTCAATAGATCAAACACCTATTATAAATATTTATAGTATTCCAAACACCACTGTTGTTAATAATGGTTACAACATTACTCCAGCGCCATTTGATCAACAACAACATAATAACGATACAAACACCACCAATATTAATGACATAAATTATAATTTAATATATAACCCATATATGTATAATAACGATCAATTTATTGTTATAAATACTACATCACCATCATCACCACCATCACCAACATCACCAACATCACCAACATCACCAACATCACCAACATCACCACCATCACCACCAATATAGCAATTATTGAAAGGTAAAATAAATCAAAAAGAATTATTATTATTGAATTCTTGAACAAATAAAAATTATGTATGATTACAAGTAAGAGATGAGATTGGATTTGGATTTGGGTTAGATTGACAAATCTGTTGTTGAATTAGTCAACTAGACCAATCAACTGATGAATCAATCTCTAAATCAACCACCACCACTAAAAATTAGCTACTCGTTAATAATTATCCACTTATTTAATAATAACCAGCTAATAATTTTAGACATTCTATAAAATCATAATTTCCGATTAAAAAAACTTTTTTTTTTTGTAAATAGTAAAAATATTTTTTGTTGACGTAGTTTTTTAGTGGCTTTACAAAATATATGAATGGTTCTTTTTTTTTTTTTTGATTATTATTATAATTGTGTTTTTATTATTTTTTTTTGTTTTTTTCATATTGTAATAATGATAATTTTTTTTAAAAAAAAAATAAAATGAATTCAATCTTTTTTGAATTGGAAAAATAATATTCATGCATGTGTGAATTTCCCAATGAATTATGTATGATCTACACTCACATTCAATCAATGATCAATTTCGGCAATAAACTTCTTGGCCGCAGTCGCCGAGCTTTTCTTGATCTTGGTAATTTTTCTCTATGATTTCATAATACCTTATTACACATGACAACAACAACAATAATAATATAAAGTTTCGACTCAGGGTTGGCAATAGACTGAGACAAGTCAATTGGCATTAATGTAATGCTAAATATGGTTAAATTAGAACCCAATGGACCAATAATCATGGAAAACTCTTCATTATCTTTATTGTTTTGTCGCATAAGTCGTTTAAACGCAGCGTTTTTACATAGTAAATAAATATCAAGTCTACCTATATATACATACAATTAGAGTTTCTATTCGTATATTAGAATATTCGTAATAATCAAATTCCCGAGCGTTTATATTAATTTTTAATGCCTTATTTACAATTAATTATTATGTGCGAGCAAAATACAAAATTTATCATTGGTAATGGACTCTTCTGATGGAAAATTGGAAATTTACCATTAACATTAATTAAAATAATATCATCATTTACTGATATTAGAAAGTGTTACTATTACGGATATTCGAGAGTATTATTATTATGCATATTCGAATATATAAAAATTATTTGACACCAATTTCGCATATGCTAATTAATATTAATTAATATTAATATGAATATTCGAATATCATTTCGATACAATTTCGCGATCCTCGCTTGAATATCACCTATAAAGGAAAGAAAATCATTGTGATTGGTTACACGATTCAAATCTTTTTCACACAAATTCAAAAATGAAAGAAATTACTTTACTTTTTTTCCCCAATCAATTAATTTCTAATTGATTCGATTGTTACAATCGATTTTCTTTTTCCAAATTTCTTTATTTTCTTTTTTTCCACTTTAAAATTTGTCAATTGATCTATTGATCTCATACTCTCTCTTTCCCATTTATCATCATCATCATCATCATCATCATATCTATTTTTAAAAAAGTCATTAATATGTGACACTGCGAATTAAATATGTTCAAATTATGACATATTAGGTTTTTTTTCATTTACTTACATATAATAAGATTACATTTGTTCAGTTTTATCTTTTCTCGTTAATAATAATAATAATATATATAAAATGGTGAACATGCGTAAAAATCAACAATTATTACTACAAAAAAGAAAACCAGAACCAGTAGTTTATAAAGAAATAAGAATAAACGTCGAAATAAAACAATCGGAAAACAATATTTTTAATTTTCCTGATTTGTGTAAAGAAGCTGGCATAGATCTTACAATGCCCAAACAAAAATATAAAAATTATCATTCCGGTTCCGACACTGATGATAACTCTGCAGAGTTTTGTTCCGATTCTGAATCAAATAATAACAACAATAATAATGGAGGAAAGAACAAGAAAAGGAAAAACAAAAATAAGACAGCAGAGGAGGAGGAGGAAGAAGAGGAAGAGGAAGAAGAGGAAGGAGAAGAAGAGGAAGAGGAAGATCTTCAACCAGAGGAACCTCAACTCAATGAACCTGGTGATGATTTCTTTAGGAGGATACTTGAGAATTCTGAAAAATACGCAGAGGAGGAAGAAGAACAGGTATATTATACAGATATATAAGAGTGATGACGACGATCAACATTTAATTATGATAATGAATGATTGATGATTGATTGATTTGATTCCACATATAATTTAGAATAATAGGAAAAAGAAAAGACAAGAAAGGTATGATATCTCTGATCCATTCATCGATGATAGTGGTATGGTTCCATTTCGACTAGATAAGCCTCGCCCTAAAATCGAAGGTTTCTACGTATGGAGAGGTCCATTAGAATTAGAAAATACGTAAGTCGTTATGATGTAAGATGATATATATATATATATATTTACATATTATTTATAACAAATAACTAAATTAATTAGAAATGAAAAGGCTCCTGGAAAGAAGAGAGCATATAAACGTAAAAAGAAAGACAACAATGAGGAGGAGGAAGAGACAAGAGGCACATCAAAACCTCGTAAAAAACGTAATAACAATACCAAATCAAAATCATCAGAGGAACCTGCCAAAAAAGGCAATGGGAATGAGGAACCGAAAACTAAAAGAACAAGAAAACCTAGAAAACCAAGAAAACCAAAGAATAGCGATTCCTCCACCACCACCATAACCAACACGGCTACTGAAACAACAACTGGAATCAATCTAGAAAATTCTTTATCTTCCTCCTCTTCTTCTTCCAATAATAATAATCCAACAACAGCCATGGGCGATATTGATATTGTACCTTATAATATACCTGATAGTATTCAGCAAACATCAAAAGATTCATCTTCATCATCTTCCAATTCGAATGCACTCGATGACACTCAACAGAAAACTCTTAATAAAAACCGATCCAAAGAATATAAAGAGCATAAAGAACAAAACAATGATATTGTAACTAGCATCATGTTATCAGCGTAATAGTTGATTTATCGATTATTTAAAATAAATTTAACTAATGAAAATTTTTTTCTGACATGATTAATTTTTCATTAGGAACCATTAAATTCTGAATTGCAACAAATCTTATCAATTTTTAAAGATGAAATATCAAAAGGTTTGAATTATAAACAAATGAAAATTTTTGTTAATAAAATTATTTGATATTTAAATATATATTTATATGTTTCAGAAAGCTTTCAAGTCAAATCAAGATTTCCACAAAGCCTTAAACCTACTTTGATTAAATTATTGTCTAAAGCATATGAACTTGGTGAATTTAATGAAAATCTTTTCAAAAATTTGACAAACATTCTACCTTACAATAAATTCACCATAACAGTAAGCCTTGACATTAGCTATTGATTTATTATATACATCATTAATTTAAAATTTAAAATTTTTTATTTTCACATATAGCGTCTTTGCTATAGAACAATGTACCCAAAGGCAATCCACGATTCACGATTTAAAAAAACAGATTTGATTTCACAATTTAAGTCATCAGTCGACGAAGCAATGTCTAAACTATTAAAAGAATACAATGAACGTCTAGCAAAAATGGAATCTGCTAACGCCAACAACTCTTCGTCGTCGTCATCGTCATCATCTACGTCGCCACCATCTTCACCATCAAATATGGATGAAAGTGCCAATGGTGCCAATAAATCAAAGAAATTTAATAACAATAATAATAATAATAAAACGAATAATAATTCGAAATTATCAGTATCCAAAAAATTTAAATGGGATAATCATATCAAGTCCTTACTATATCAAATAATTCAAACTGAAATGTCTATCGTAATGATGTGTAATCAACTCGCGTAAGTTGTTAATTCATTATTATTATTTTTATTGGTGCTTGTATATAATTTTTGAAAAATGAGAGAGCACTAATAAAATTATTTAATATAATAATAAATAGTGAGGCAGAAGAGAGAACTGAAAGACAATCTGAACAAACTTCTAGAAAAAAATTGTATCAACATGTAATTAATTATATTTATTTATAAAAATATATAATATTTTACTGACTTAAACTAAAATATTTATTTTATTAGCTTTTAGCAATTTGGCCAGATGAGTGGATGTCATCTAACGAAATAGGAAAAATTTACAGTGCATATAAAAAGAAACAGCAATCTTGATTATTGATGATGATAACAAGCAGTGATATATTCTTTTTTGCATCGTTATTATTCTTTAGAGCAATTTAATAGAATCATCATTTCATGTATATCTAAACATTTTTAATTTTAAATAGATTTAATTTAATATATTTATTATTATCAAATCTCTATAATATTAATTAGAGAAAAATAAAATAAACCTTTTATATAACAACTCTTCTTGTTTATTCTTTGTGCTATTCGAATACCAATTTATAAATATTAATAATTGTGACCGTTTGTGAAACCTACCTATCCTATCCATTAAAATATTTATATTATATTCTTGTTCATTTTTTTGGGTGGAATTACTTTTTTCTCTGTTAGTAATAAGCAAATCAATAAAACTTCCAATTACTTCTCATTCCGATTTACGTGCGCATTTTTATAATAATAATAATAATAAGGGTAAATAGTAAATAATAGGGAGTAGATTTAGTTTTAACATTTTAAAAAAAGAAGTTTAGTGTAATAACCGACCGAAACCAGAACTCCGATATTTTAGTGCGCCGGTGTGACATTACTCATTTACATTTATGGAATATGATGAACGTTTTTATACGAAAAAGAAAAAAGAAAAAGGGCTTGTAAATGAATTCACCAGATACTAATACCAATAAATAAACTCACTTATTAAAACTTCCAAAAACATTTATGAAATATTTTCTTTCAATTTTTTCCTTTCTTTCTCTTTTTCTAGTTTCCTTTTTTTCTTTCCTCATTTTTTTTATTCCTTTTGCAAGATTTTTAATTGGTTTCGCGTTTATAAATTCGCGAGTTCATTATTTATGAATTACAATAAATGGAAAAACAATAAAGCAGAAAATACAGAGTAAGAAAAGATCCTGTTTGAAATAATAATTAATTAGACAATATAATGTAAATCAAATAATAAATAAATAATTGATCTCTTTGTTTGATTTTTATAATTGTTCATATCACAACACAATAACTTATTAGTAAATTGCGCGGAACGTCATCTTATGGATCAAATCAAATTTTGCAAACTTATCAATCTATTGTATTAGTGTGTACTTATGAATACGCATATAAATAGACATGTATTAAATGCCATAGATGTACGTATGTATAAATTACGGAATAAGAACTTTTTCATTGGTAAGCAAGGAATTATTAATTAATAATTGTTATAGGTAACTTGTTATTATTTATTATTATTATATATTATTATATTATTTATGATTATTATAAGTAATTGTTGTTGGTAAACAAAAATACGACTTCTTTGTTGCATAATTATTTCATCTCATTCATTCCAAGAAAGGCCTAGCTAGTATTGATTAACTCGCTATAAATGTAGAACAACAGAACATAATTCCATATTTTTCTTTGATAAACATTTTATCATTATCAAAGGAATAGATTTCCGGCTTTATTGGCGATTATTAATTGGTTGGTTGTCTTGTGCGATTTGGTTCGGGATAGATCCTTCTTCAAATGATATTTATTACTATTATTATTATTTATTTATCCAGCATATTGTCGCCTTTTGTGTACGTACACACGTATAAATTATACATGTAAATGTCCCAGAACTTGTATCATATCGGGAAACTCAGTAGACTCAGAGAATAATTTTTCCCAAGTCATTATTCTTTTTGCCCCTATTTGTATGCGTTTTTGTTAGATTGGCTGATGATAATAATGTATGTTTAGTCATGTTTAATTGAATATATAAACAAAACGATAAATATAACGCGTATTTCGTATTACTTATTGTTTATGTTATTATTGTTATCTATCTGCGTTAAAGATTTAACAATTTCAAAATAATCAAGCACGTGATACAAATGTCTTGTAATAATTTCTTTAATCCTTTTTTATTGATTTATTTTTATTTAATACTATTCAATTGATCCCTATTAAGCTTAAAAAAGTTTAAAAGAAGAATGAGAATAAATGTCAAAAAAAAAAAAAATGGAGGGATTTCAAAAATGGTCAAAAATAAAAAAGGGGTGTTGACACCACATTTTTTAATTACTTATCCGAAAAGGGTAAAGATCAATTATATAATATTCATCACCTACCTACTAAATATGATGGCTTATCACTCGCATTATAAATAAATAATGTTTATTTTTAAATTTTTAAAATTAAAAAAAAAAAAGAAGTCTTCTTCTCTCTCTGCAAACAATGGTCAAAGATATATATATACATGAAACAATTCCCCTGAATTCATTTTGTTCTGTATTCGCTAATTATAAACAATCTTATTTATATAACTGGAAAGAGTTGGGAAGAGTTGGAAAGACTTGTGATTTTTACTTTTTACTTACACGCATTTATTGGAAAGTCTTTTTAAATTTACGTTCACAATGAATTGAATTGCCATTCTTTTCATGATGAAACATGTAAACAAAAGACGTTACAATATAATAATAACAATATTAATATTCGCCAATATTCCATAGTCGATGATGTTTTTGGCCACCAGAAAGTGTATGCGTGTCACAATATGAATCTAAAAAAAAAATCATTCTAAATATAAAATAAAAAATCTATTTTTATTATTATGCTTAAATTTTCCGTTAATATTTTAAGCTTTTATACTGACCAAGCGCCAGAATTTTTGATTGGCTAATTTAAATTTAATAGATAATCAAATTATTTAATCTTGAATTTTAAAACTTTGTATTCATGTGGAACTCTACTGGAAAAAATAAATAAATCTTTTGCAGACCCCTCTTAGATGTAACACACATATAACTAGCTAATGCACTGTTGATGATAACCAACCGTCTATCAGAGTGGATTGCCAAGATAGTTGGTTGTACAATCATAGTTATTTAATAAACAAAGCTTGGACATTTGATTTGATGAAGGTTTTGTTCTCAACAGAACATAGAGCACTTTGATGATGAAATTTTAATTTATGATTAATGAAAGTTTTGGATTTTGAACAATAGATGGATGATAATTATTTATTAAATGGTAGCACCATTGAAGAGGAATTGATTGATGTAAGTAGATAGATTTGTTATCAAATCTATTGGATTTATTTTGTGATAACACCATCAACCATAAATTATGATAAATTTTAACAATGTTTTGACTAATTTAGTTAATGATAATAATTATCGTCATGATTATTAAGGAAGTTTTATGCTTGCACCGGTAACTTAAGCATATATGAAGATTGGGTGGATCTTGCTGGTAAAAATGCTGATTCAAATTCTTCTTTATTAGTTCATTCCAAGTTGAAAGTAAAGAACATTTTCAGTGATTAATAATTTTTATTTACGAAAAATAAAAAATAAGTGTAGAATGTCTTTTACATTAATATAATAATTCAAGGAAAGTTTTTTTAAATTATTTACAAAACAAAAAATAAAAGAAAATGTAAGAGGAATAAGTAAAATATAAATTTTTATATTAATAACAAAAGAAAGATTTTTAACTATTTATTTAATTGTTTAAGAGTCTTATTGACAGCATCATCAAGTACAAATGGTAAATGATTTTTTTTTAGGGCTCTTCGCCAAGCATATTATTATTGATATATAATAAATAATAATAATAATAATAATAATAATAATAATAATAATAATAATAATAATAATAATAATAATAATAATCACAAGGAACCAATATCACCATTTATGCAACAATAACAACGACAATAGCAAACTATTTTGTCATTATTGTAGCAAAAGGCAAAATCTAAGGATAAAAAAGAACATCCATTAAAGAAGTATAGTGCCAAGTACAGAAATACATATTACATTTCTTCATGCTCACACTCACACTTGTGAACAAAAACCATGTTTAGCAAATGTTTAATAAATGAATTAAACTAAATGTTGTAATTGATTAAATAATGAAAATGCAATGTCTAATTTAAAATCCTTTTTTTTTCATCTTGATGATGATATTAATTACTAAAAAAATATTATTTAAATCACGAGTTGTCTATAAAATTCTGACAGAATTCTAAGCCACCGTTGGTCATGGCAACCAATTACAAGACTATATGCATATCGTTTTTTTTGTACATGACCACATTCCCCTCGCATAAAGAACAAAAATGGCAAAAGATAAGATCCTTCAATATTATGACGATGACGATCTTGCTTACAGATACATCCAATTTGGATTGGTCATTGTTAAAATTAACCACGCAGTGGTCATGCGACATATCATTCATTTTTTTATTTATTCCCAATTACCAGGAAAATTGCCCATTTCTTTGTTTAATTAAATAAAAATTGCCATTTGACATATGCATTTTTTCGATAAAAATATATTTAAAAATGAATTTCCCTTAATCATGAAAACAAATGCACAACATCCATTATCATTATACAATAGAAAATGGCAATTTCTAGCATCATCAAAGTCAACAATAATCGCATTCAAACAGCCATAATAGTAATAATTAATACAATGACATAATAGTAATGGTGTATTTTGCAAAAGAAAATAAATACAATTACTTGATTAGTATTTATTTATTCACGTTATTAACAAATAAATATTATTGAATTATCGATTATTAAATCATATGATATTTACAAAATTTGAACCTTTTCATTTTGTTGTTCTACTTTTTTGGTATTTTATATTTTTTCGTTTCTTTTTTGTAATTTTTTTTTCGTTTTCGTTTTCGTTTCTTTCTAAATTCGAATTATTTCATTTTATTTATTGATTTACAAGTAACAAAGAAATAGATCAAGTGATATTTGGACTTTACTATTATTATATACGATTATTCTATAAACTAGGCTCATGCATATAATAATAATAATCATAATTAAAGAATATTAGGGTTCGCCCATTTTTTAAACTAGTCGATTTATTTTATCAAAGAATTTTATTTTGAATTCAATTCATCACAATCCACCCTAAAAATAAATAATAAGATGGTGTCAATTTGTAATTTGTAATTGTAATTTGTAATTATAATTGTATTGTGTTTTCTCCAAGTCATTAATGACCTATTTGAAATTTTACCTTATTTTAAACTTTAATCATTTTTACGAACATATAATAAAATTTTGTACGACAATATGATCACACATACAAACATTTGATATGATAAATTAGCCAATTAAACGATCGGTTAAGATTAAAGATAACGATGATAACGATAATAATCGCAGTAAATTAATTGATGAAAAATCCTCAATTCAATTTGTATAAATAATTGGTTTTTTTTCATCTACTAACTAACTAACTAACCATAACATATAATTAAAAAACACAAATTTTGAATGCATGATTTACTTGATTGTCAAACAACTACAGAGTTACAATTAATTATATTAATTACATGTTATTGCTATTATTGTTGTTATTGTTGTTGTTTGTTGTTTACTAATAATAACAATTGAGTTTTCGATAAAGATACACCTTTTTCATATATATATGCATATATGTATGTACAAAATTTTATCCCGAGTCAAATAATAATTACACCAGCCAGTAAATAGCCATCCAATATTAAATTGTTATTTGTTTATTATTATTTACATAACCAACACCGCCAAATTTCCAAATGGACCTTTACGTAATAGTAATGCATATTTTAATGTTGCAATATTGACTTATTCATCGTCAAGTCATTGCCACTAACTTTATTTATTCAATTAATCGACCAATTGATATTAAATAAACGCTCATAAACCTCACACTCTCTTCAGCCCATATTTTAACGCACCCAACCTCTCACCTAACAATTGTTTAATAATACCACATCCCCTCAATTATTTTTATTAAAGTATTAATCTCATTCAATTCATAACATCCTCCTCAAATTGTGTGTGTATGAAACACAAATATTAATGCAACAAACTTATTTGAGAAAACAATAATAATCAAAACAAATTTTATTTATTTCTTTATTTTATTGAAAGAAATAAACAATAATATTATCTTTTAAATTTATTATTTTAATTTTTAAAAAAAAATTTTTTTTTTCAAGTTTTACGCGTAATTAAAGCCGAACATCTCGAATCTCCGACAGATCAATTCTATAAATGGTATATCTTATTATGAATGCAAAAAGTACAAAGGCCACATATGGTTATATTAAAAATTAATTAATTTTAATCATATTACATGAGAATCTAGACGTTATATAGACACGTTTTTTTTTGGTAAAAATATAAAGCAACTAGCATACATACATACATCATACATATGTTAATGTTGATTAATAATATTAAATTATCTTATCATCTTTACTTTATTTATATAGTAATAATAAATAAAAACGATATTATCGCTTGTTACACAATTAACTCATGAAAAAAAAGCCAGCTAACATGTAAACATGTAAACATTAGAAACATTACTTTTATCAACCAACAATAAAAAGATTCCATCAACAATGTCAACAACCAGTTTTATATCATTGGAAAACATAAGCAACATATTATTATTCAACAACCCTATTAGTATATACCAACAAAGATACTGGCTGGGATATTAAACTTGTAATGATTTATTTAAATTGTTAAATGAATATGATGATTTATATGATGTAGAAATTAAGGTTAGAATGGACCCAGCAGTATGTTAAAGCCTTTAAAGCCCGTTTCAAACATCTTAAAGGCAAGATCGTCTTATTTTAACGTTGCTTTATCAAATGTTCGGATAAAAATCTGATAATGGTATCGTTTTATTTGAAAAAGAAGATATTTCCCCAAAAGTATTTGGGTTATTTTAACGTAAGATTAATTTATTTTCAATCCGTCTCATGAATTCAATATGAATAAAACATGATTTTTAAAAAACATCTGTTTTTTTCTTTATAAAAGATACATTTACAATGGAATCATGATTATAGATAGATAGATAATATGAATCTATGAAATCTTGAAATTCTTGAATCATGTGATGAATTAAATATCAATGAATTGATTGAAGATTTACAAAACTATCTAATGATTGAAAAAAAGAATGGTTTCAACAGAATCTAATTTATGTCCACAATATTTCATCAAACCGTCAATCGTTCAATTTACTCCGGGAATATTTTGTCGAATTAATTTCTGATTATCCAAATTGTTTTTAAAATCTGACGATTTCAAAGATATTGATAAACCTACGTTTTATGTCTATATTAGAAAAGGATAATTTGGAATTAGATGAAATTGATATTTGGGATTATGTCGTTCGATGGGAGACGAGACAAAATGAAAAATTTGGGAAAAGAAAAATTTCAGAGTGGTCAAGGATGATTTAATAGAAGATATTATTTCATGATAAGATTCAAGGAGACTAGTCGAGAGATTTTTCCGGCAAAGTCTTGCCATTTAAAATACTTTTTGATAAAGAAGTCTTTAAAGATCTTATTTAATGATAAATGGCAACCAAGCTTATTACAAATGTTCAAAATTAAAAAACATCGAATTTAGATATGAAATGTTTAATTTCTAACTGGTCAGATAAGAAAAAATATTTATATAATCTACCTTATGATTTTAAATTAGTCCTTCGTGGATCTCAAGACGGATTCTCTATATCAGTTTTTGAGGACAAACGTTACGGTATAGAACAGGCTGTGACTATAATGAAACAGGCGAATTAACCGATGGCTATAATCCACTTTGTTGGAATAAAAAAGAAAGTCGCCTAATAAGAGTTGACAGATTATAATAAATGTTTACTTTCAAAACTGGTGAAAATAAGCAGATTCAAAAAGGCCTGATAAGAGTTGACAGATGATAATAAATGTTTATTTTCAAAACTGGTGAAAATCAGTAGATTCAAAAGACCTAATAAAGAAGATGTTGTAAGTTATTGTAGTAAAAACGTTAATTTTACTGAAGGAGGTATGAAATTTTATGGCATAATAATAATAGTATTAATGATGAATCTTATCGTTATTATTTTTTTTTATCACTTTTGTCTTGAGGATGGTCGTAAAATAATTCATCTGTTGGAAGAATTAGGGGTGCATAGCATAGTAAAAAATTTAAGTGAAGATAATTTATATATTAAATAAACAAGTTCATTATCGCGTTTCAATTAATATTAATATTGTATTGTATAATTAGATCCGAATAGAAAGTTGTTAAGAAATGTAAATTTTTATTGTTTATAAGGAAAACAGATTACAATTCATTATATGCTAGACTGGAATCTATTCAAGGATTAGTGATTTATGATCAATCTTTAGTTTTCTGGCTTTGTTGAATCTTCTAATTGGTCATGTTTCCTCTCGAATTACCATATGATATAGCTTGGCGAGCTTTAGCCGATGATATCACTATATAATATTTGCAAATTGACCAACTATTCATAAAAGTTTTCGTTCTTTTGTACTAAAAACTATTGAAAATAGATTAAAAGGAAGGGCATTTGTTAAATTTTCCTAGCAAAATTCTTTATGAAGGAATCAAGCATCCATGTTTCATCACTATCCGAGTGTCCCTTTTTTCTAATTCTGTATGCTCATTACGTTCTATTATTAAAATCTAGCAATTTCGTTGGAATTAAGGATGGAGTTAAAGCAGATAAAGCAGCTATGTAATAGTTGGACGTAAAGCGGGAGTCGCCACCTATAATTTCTCTTTCTTTTCCAAAATAAGCTTTTTATAACATCGATAAACTATTCCTTTTCGACACTATGCCTACCTACTTCACGTTTGAGATGCATATTTTTTTAATACTAGAAAGTAACTCGCACTCCCAGTTTTTTTTCCAATACGTTTTTACCTA